GGAAACTGCACTGCTCCAATACTAATTAGTCCATCGGTTCGATCGTTCACTAGCAGACGCTTCCTCCTCTTTTTCCCTTCTGACTTCTTTTCACCGTCTCCATTCTCATTTTTCTTCGACCTCTCAACGCTGGCTGGCTTCGCGCTGCTGAAGAATCGGCTCATTTGTTACCGAGTTAGGTCGTCAAATGATAAGTAATCTTAAAAATTGTTTCCACAAAAGAGAACTATTTTTGGTAGCATTTGTAACACAGAGGTTTGTCCTCAATTACGGACATCAAGGTGTAAAGGGAGAATGAAAATGGCGGCACAAAGAGTAGAATGCAAACACACTGCATTTGATGCATGTTCTGCGGTGAATGTTTCGAATATATGTATTAAATCTTCTCGGGAAACAGCTACGAAAGGTAAATATTAACCTGCTATTTTGTGCTCCCGGGGTAGTTTTAACCTCCAAAAAGAGGAACAGATAAACAACGGGTGTTCGTCTTTGTTTTTTTTTTGTTTCGACCCTTTCTTTTTTCTTTAGCGCGAAGCTGCGCGAAATTTGGACGAGTGCCATGCCTAACTGTCGGAGCTCCTCCTTTCGCGAACGCTTCAGATTGCCGTTTCTGAAAGTTCGTCCAATTACCGGGCATTAGTCCTCGTTTCATCTCGACCTGGGCGCGAACAGAGCAATTTCCTCGTCGCCTCTGCATTCGTTATTGTTTCATTAGGAGCTCCCGATTCTTTAAAATGCGCTCCGCTTGTGTTTTCATCGGAAAAACTTTGTACAGTTTGGTCTCGGTAAGTTCCGACCCTTTTCTGTAAATTACCGTGCTGGTTCTGAAAAGTTCCCGCGAGGCAAATATAATATTTTGTCAATTAATATTAAATCGCCGAGGACATAATTCCCATGATAACGTTTAATAAACTCAGCTTTTGATGGAATTACTAAAAAATTCGCGTAATTCGTTTCGCTACGTGCCCGTATTTCAAAAATCGCTTTTCGTTACGCGAATTCCGTATCAAATATTTCCTGAAATATCGATCAAACATGCGAATGACGAAAGAGATAATTAAGAAATTCCGCTAATATCAAAGCATTCGGATAATGAATCCCGTGCCGTGGCAATTTGTAATAGTGCCGTATTAACAGAAAAGCTGGCGATTTATTAGGTCGCACATGGGCTGTTATAAATGCTAAGCTTCCATTTCGCTATTGGCCGAGTAACAGACACGAATGGTCAGGTAATGAACGACCGTATGAACGAAGAAGGACAGAGACATAGAATCGATGGGATATTCAAGTAATGACAACGATAACGACGGTGACGATCATCAACGAGCAACACCCACGTCGAACGCGATTCGCTACAACGATGACGATGACGAACGATAGCTATAGGCCATTAAATAGATACCTGCTAATTGGTTTCTCTAGTTTCGATCGATCCTATATCGACGATTAAACGATTCTCTATTTCGCGATATGCCACAAGAATATTTAAGACCGATTTTCTCGAAACACAGGAACGTAGAATCTCATTTCCTCGCGTTGAATTTATATCAGCAGTTACACGACCCCGAGTGTGTTAAACACCGCCCATTCATTTTCGACGGAATATTTGCAAAAGTAACACGTTCGAACTGCAGTCGAACCTATTTTGCAATAATACGCGTCAGTCAATGTTTGCCGTCGGTCTATCGTGTAGAGCCGAGGAAACGCAATTGAAGCAAACCGATCTGTCTCCCTTTAAATTGATTGACATACACGGTTGCGTCCGTAGAAGTCGAAGCAAGAGAGAAATAAGAAAAACGTCTGAGGGAACGGGCAACAAGCGTATAGATAGCTGCGAATACGAGTGGAAAGCTACATCGAGTCGTCTGTAAATCGAGTTTACTTCAGACGAACACCGCCATCATTTTCACGCCTCCGTCCATCGCATCGTCTCGCGTCGTCTTTTTCCCGTTGTCGCGACGACCTCGCCGCGTAGCTGCGTAGAAACCTTTTATCCAGAGAAATTACCGTGAATGGCTGGGAAAATCATCGTTCCTTCTTGTACATTGTGGCCTCTTTCATTTTCCTGGCGCGGTCCCCGAGGGAAACGCCTGAGACACCCAGTCGCAACAACCCACCCCATTTTCACCGTTGGAAACGCGACTTGGTTGCGTGTCGAGGTTGCAACAGTCGTCCCGTCGACGACGTTTAGAAAATGCCTGCACGTACGTTGCGGTTCGTGGGGGTTGAGACAGGTCGTAAGAAGGAAATATTCTGTCGCGAGAAAATTTCCTGTATCCTGCTGGAAATTCGTTTAACTCGCCCTCTCCTTGTCGCGCTCTTTAAATTCTACAGCCGGAGAAACTGCGGTAACAAAATCATCGTGTTACTCGGGAACCATCGAGTCGCCCGCGTGATAAATTTCTATCTACGCGTTAATCCCCCTCGCCTGGAATTTAATTGGTACGTGCACCAACTGTCCCGAAGGATTTGCTCGTTAATAAATTGGTTACACGCGGAAGGATTCCTATACAAACTACCGTCGTTTAAGGTAAAGATCGTAAGTTTTTAAGTTAGACTAGAAGAAAGTGGACCAAGAAGGAAACCGTAATTTTAAGTTAGAACGGAAGAAAGAACCTCGGACCGAGCGTAACTGGTATTACGTTTCCCTCGGTGGAGCTCCAACAACATCCGTGTTTGCCAGGATCCTGGCTTTTGTGTCCCGACCCATCCGTCGGGAAAATATTTCTGTAATTAAAATGCTGGTGCGCGAACCGACGCAAGAATTCTCCACGTGACCATAGCTCTCCCTCTCTGTCTTCTTTTATTTGCAGATTTCTCGCCTCGTTGTCCTGTAATAGAGGCAAAATTCCGCGATAACACGTACGCCACGTAGCCCTGCGGCCCCCGTAATCTCGGCGCCCAAGAGGCAAGTTCGAAACTACTAAGATCCGTCCGTGGGTAACTTACGAAGAGATTCGACCCCGTACAGGGCTCACGGAACGTAAGAGCCGGAAGATATTTAATTTTCCCCCGTGGAGTTCTCTGCCCTCCTACGTATAAAACGCGCGAAATGATAACTGGCCTATTATTCGCAAGGAAGAGTCGGCGAAACGATAAAGGATAGCCGCGCTAGAAATTTATACTTAAAAGATTTCCCTCTTTCTTCTTCCTTCTCCCGCGTTAGACCGTGCTCGTTACAGGTGCTCGCGTTTGCGGAATAAATTCGCGGAACATCTCTGCCGTGAAACGCGGCCTCAATTCGTATCAAAATAACGCGAATTTCGACGGAGAATTTTTTGAGGGTGGAAAAATTCAACCGCGGTGTCCGAATTTCGAGGTAAACCGGTATATACCTTCGATCACTATTTCAACTGCACGGTGTCATTTGAGAATGGACTTTGAAGTAGACGCACATTTTGTACCGTAGTACCATTAACTACGGATCAAGATATTTCCGAATTCTGAAATAAAAAAAATTCTGAGTACGTCTGGAAAGTCGACACAGGGCTCAACCTTTAGAAACGAAGCGAAAACACTCTGTCGACAAGTATTTTATTAACGTTTCCATTATTCCCCGACATTCTTCAACTTCTTTGTCCAGTACAACCCTTTCAATCTCTGCGAATCGTAGAAGGATGCAATGGAGAATAATTGACGAGGGTGAGAAGATCTTTGCAACGAACATACGTTTAACGAGCCCCATTGCTGGGGTTAGAAGTACCGGTCCCTATAAATGGTAAGGGTGTCAGAACAGAGAGCCATAGGGATGATTCTCGTAGCGGAAACAGCCGTCGAACGTCACGTACTTCTGTAATTGTTCATCCAACATGGGAGACATTTAACGATCACCATAAACGCTGATAATCGGCCACAGAATGAGGAGTTCCAGGCATTTTTCGTGCACGATCGTTTCTCGCCAGATATCGGGTCTTTTATGAAATTTGTCGAACTTCGCCAATCGATTCTACGCGGTCGTTGGCATGACCAATTATTTCCGAGTAAAATAGTCGGGCGTGTCGCGATAAGATCTTCGCTTAAGAATACCGAGACACTTTTATTACGATTCTAATGATCGCACCGACTATCGGTGCTACTAATGCGAAATAAATGCGAGAAGATATTTTATCGTGTCGCGATATATTAAACGATTGCATGCTTTTATTATTCGGGGAATTCTAAAAATGAGGATATGACAGACTAAAAATTAAATTAAATCTGACGCGGCAAAAATAAATGCGTAATTACGATGAAACGCGGAATATATTAAGAAAATTGTTGGATAATAAATTTCAATGAAAATAAATTAAAAATAATCAGCAGTGACACGAGTATAAACAGAGAATTTAATTTCGGGATATACATCAAAGCAAATAATAAACTTATTCCGAGAGAATTTTAAAATTTTTAAACGAAATATAAAATGAGGATTATTTTTAAATATATATTATGGTGCTCGATCATGTTTGCGATGCGAACAAACAACACATCATTCGATGGAATTTAATATTTCGTCTATGGTTTGATGTAAAATGACATATGGGGTTACCGTAATGTCAGTAATGCTAGAACACGTCGAAAATTTAATCCGTCATACATGGTGATTTCATTATTAGATCGCCACAGGTGCACCGATAGATCGATGGAAATGTTATTACTGGACTATTAACAGATTCAACAGATGTATATTCGTGTCAAACGTTGTTTCTATGGGTCTGTTTCGACGATATCCTTGTAACGTTGTATCGCTGTGAGCGCGCTGGCATAATAATCTTGGAATCGTACACGTCATAGAATGATCGATCGTTATTAATCAGAGATTTCTATATGCTACTGTCCTCGTTGGTACACGGAGAAGCGTGCATAATTAATTCATAATAATGTAGAACAACTATGGGTTACTAATTTTCAATCGGTTAATGGATCATTGGTAAAACAGTTTCTCAAATTTCCAAATGCTCATCTGATTCATTTTGTAACATTTGCAGTTCCTACAGAACGATGGTTATCTTTGGTTTCAGGTATCTTGGATACGTAAGAGAGACCTGCACATACTCACTTCATCGATCTATGCGTACACGGGAGACGAGAGATTTTCCGTGAAACATCCGGAAGCATCCGATGAATGGACGTTGAAGATCGATTACGTGCAGCAGCGTGATGCCGGGGTTTACGAATGCCAGGTCAACACCGAGCCCAAAATGAATTTAGCCTTCGTGTTGAGAGTCGAAGGTAAAGCTGCAATTGTTCAAGCGTTCATCTTTCGATTAATCCTTTCACGATTGATCGTCAAATTACGTAGTTCATAAAATGACTATTCGAAATCGGATCGATAGAGAGTCAATCTGGAAGGGTTAATCGGCGTGTTCACGGAATCTCTGTACCGCTGTAAATATTTTGCGCAATGGAGAATAGTTGAAAGACACAATTCCAAGCTTATGCGCGTGTCTATCACCTGATCGATCAGGAAAGACACTTCCGGTACCCTGACTACGCACCAGCATGAGAAAAAGTACTGAAGCTTACCTTGCTTGCATGCCTGTCACCGTGAAACGTAACGTTTCTCGATAGGTCGAAATCCTTTCTTTTCTTTTTCTTTCTTTCCGTTCGCCGAATCACCGATCCGGGAGAAATCAATTTAACGAACGTTACAATACATACTTGCAAGCCGTCGATTTCGTCTCCCGGTACTTCTGCTGGGCAATTAATTCGCCTAATTGATTGCCCTGTCAACGTCGAGTGCACGTTGCAACCACCATCACCGCGACAACACTTCAGGTTACAACAGTGATGACGTTTCAGCGCCAATTAAAAGTCCTCGTGAATTATCGAGCATCGTCCTTGTTCGCGTATTAAGCACGATATCAGTTTACCACCGTCACCGAGATCGACATTAGCAAACGTAACGACATGTTTCGTTACAAGATCAATCGCTTTGCTTCACTTTCCCCTCTGGTTTCGCTTCAATTAACGGTTATTCCACGATTCTGATTAATCGACGCTCGTGTTCCCTCTTCTTCGCATTGTATGATATACGAGCTGCTTTTACTTGGTACTTTGGATATTTATGGTTTTATTAAGATTGATCGTTAACGCTGTGCATCAGAGCTATAAGTTACGCTGATCATTTACTGAACGAAATGTTTTTAACACTATCTACATTCGAACTGTAAAATATTCAAAGACAATTTATAATCGCTGGAATGCTTATCTTTAAGTTGGAGTATTTTACGCAAATTGCTCGGATAAATGATTCGAATTTACCAAGTTGAATAATTTCTTTGAGGATGGGCCACGCGTAAACTGTTTCCGCGAATCACGAGATTTTGAAGGCTTCGCGTGTACGTGCAGCGCTGTTCATTAATTATGTTCGTAGCCTCTGCGTGTACCTGTCCCTATCACGAGGCAGCGTAACGGCGCGTATAACAGTAATTGCTCGTCAGGTGGCTGGGATCGATATTTTCGGACGACGAAGCGATACAGTTAGTTCGCTGATGAGGAATTAAATTATAAACGCGGTGTCTGCATTCGAACGACGTGAAACTTTGATGCAATAAAGTGGTGCTCGTAATCGAGCCTAATTACTTCGAGTTTAAGCATTTTCGGGACAACACGCTCGACTTGAAACCGGGGAACTGTTCCCGATTTCAAATTTCGTGTCTCTTAAGAATATCGTGCACGCAAATCTCTCTCGCAAAATTTATCAACTTCTACATCGTATACAAATCCGAGTCCTGATGCTACATCGATAAGCGTACACCGTGTAAATTTTGTAGCACCTAGATCCTCGTGTTAAGTAAAACACTGATATCGCACGATTTACTTACACAAGGTCAGAAAGAGGGAGGAAAAAAGTATACCGTTTTCCCTGAGATATCCCGGTAGCAAGCCAAAGATAAATGCATGTGCTCTCGAAAAGAACCGCGTAGGTTGTTATCGCTCTCGAAGAAAGGGCGACCACGAACAAACACCGTGAATGAACAGCGATGCACGTTGCATACATACTTACCGTATGTACGTACGTACATTGACGGAGAGTCGCACTTTTACCTATATCGCGGTGCTTTCGTTGGCAGTTCAATCCCCGGGCCAGCCACGAAACAGTAGATCTCTCACGACGAAATCGATTAACTCGATATCTTTTCTGTCCTCCCGTTCCAGAACGTGCCCTTGTCCCCGCCACCGCCACACCGAACGCCATTCACCGGACGTTCAACTCAGGTTAGAATCACGCAAGAACAGACTCCTTTTCCGAGCTGTTGAACTGGCTGCTATAGACGTTTTATTACAACCTGTATGTAGATCATGTCTGCCTGTCTCTATATGTCTTTATTTCTCCATCTACCATCCGCTGTCTAGCCGGAGAGCATGCGCGTCTGTATTCGGCCGCGTATATGGGGTGTGTCGATTCATCGCTACAATCTTACACTCCCTAAAATTTCCTCAGATTTTTTCTATTTTTCCCTGAATTCTTCTTCTGAAGTTTTTTTATGCAACTGTCTCGTACCCTTACATTAATTTGGAACTTTCATTCGTGAAACACTTTAAATTCAGTAGCGAAATATTCGTGATAAAATATCTCCTGATACGCAGTTTTTGAGGAAGGGATAGTTGAGGACATAATTACGGATAGATTGAAATTAGACACCCTGTATACGTGGCAACTCGTGCTCTATCAGTGCATGCACGTCCTCGCCGTTTAGCGTTAATTAATGCACCCCTGGATGGTTTTGTTTTACGAGGGCAGGTCGAGCTGACTTTGGCGGTAAGAGATTCGTTTCGCTGATCGTCACAAGTTGCTAACTAGTGTTATGTGATATAATGATAATGAACGGTATTATTGCTGCAATAATCACCGAGAAACTTTGAAGTAGGAGAATAGGTATTTCTAATCAGATAGCGTTAACGTGCTCGACCAATCCTCTGGATATTTTAAGCTGCATATCATTATGCTTCCTCTAGGATGCTCGATAATTCGTAGTTTATTTTCAAGTAGAATTATACCGGTGCTTTCGACCAGAACCACTTAATCCTTTCGCGGAGAACATTGCGCAGGTCAGTAGTTTTAACTTCGTTCGTTCGGTGTTCCTGATTTCGTTTTCAAAATCACGGATAATCGAGCCAAATTCGTGCTTGTTCGAATTACTCTTCTATTGCGATAATTGACACGAGACGTTAACGCGCAATAAAATATTCGTTTCAGTAGTCAGGCACATTCACCCTGATTCTGTTTTCCACGCAATTAAGATATTCACGGTAATAACGTAACTTTGGCCGGTACTGAGGTTCTCTCTTTTATTTCCACGGGCATGAACTTCGAAGTTTCATTAAAACTTTCATGGGATTCGTTTCGAATGTTAGTCACGAGCCTGGCTATGAGGCTGGCGAATATTCGCCCACGGAATTTGCATACGGTATAATTTGATGATACAAAATTTTGTAATTTTCATTATTATAAACTTACATTATATGAGCCAACCATATTATGTCTCTATTTTCTTTATATAGTGTACTATTAACAAAAATCGCTAAAAACTGTAAATCTGTACGAATTAAAAGCCGGTCATGTCGGAGACCTAAATTTTATATTGTTTAACACTGTATGTGTGCGTGTCGAGATAAACGATGAATCATTCGATGAATCAATCAAAATTGCACTGCACGTGAACGTTAACCGTTAACCGCGTAATCGTTATGGTGTTCTGCCGTTGGTGTTGCTTAACACGTCAACCGCCATACGATCGATTAATTTTCGAAGTTAAGTTCTCAGTTTGGCGTACTCGTTATTAGTATCGCGCATCAAGTTGAATGTTATCGCTGTTCAAAATTAGACGAAACTTTTCTTGAAATCATTCGATTACGCCAAATGCGTGGCACGTTGAGCGTGTTAAGAGGTGTTGCAAGGTTCGTGGTACGATAGATGTTGTACCATTCCGAGCGAATAAACGAAATTTAAGGAAGAACAGGGGCAGAATGTTTAAGTGGCCGATTTCTAATGTTTGTTGCAGCCGCTCAGGCGAAAATCCTGGGTCAGGCAGACGTTTACGTGAAGAAGGGTAGCACGATAAGCCTCACGTGCACCGTTAATGTGCAAAGTACACCGCCCAGCAGCGTTTCGTGGCATCACGGAGGAGCTGTGGTGGATTTCGACAGTCCCAGGTACAAGCCACGAGAATCAAGTTCTCGAGTTCGTTCAGTAATACCCTTTCAACTTGCTATTTCAACTCCTTTCTTCTTCGATTCACTTGCGTTACGATTTTTATTTGGGGTGAGTCTTGAAAATTTTTCCTATTTAAGCTCACCTAGGTCCCTACTTGTTACTTCAAAAATCATCGTCCAAATACCCTTCTTAGAATTTATTTTAAATAGCGTATCACCACAACGAGCCCTTAATATTCTAAAGATTCTTCCCTATTTACTCGTTGAATCGTTGAGACAAATTTGGTCGTTCCGTAACGTGGAGGGTAGTTTTCAATGAACCTCGGATGTGTTAGTAGTTTGAAATTCATGAAACGGCTGCGATAACGCGAGCGTTGGGAACGCGACTTGTCTCGTCGCGACATCGTGTCGCTGCGTAACGCGTGTCAGAAAATTCTTAGAAAGCACTAACAAAACGTCACGTGAACCTGTGCGGTGAATAGTATGAAAGTATCTTTGATAATTCAGCGTTCACCGCAGGGGCGGTGTTTCCTTGGATACCGAGAAGACGGAAAGCGGCACCACCAGCAAACTTCTGGTGACACAGGCCAGATTGACCGACAGCGGAAATTACACCTGCATTCCCAGCAACGCGAATCCAGCCAGCGTAATGGTCCACGTGCTGAATGGTAAGAGACCTTTTTATTCCTCGAACTCTTCTCATTCAAGCCCCGGTGACAACCTTCCTTTTGCCCTGTCTGCCGGCTTAATTTCCAACGACGATCCGTCTTGCGCTCAGACGTTGCTGCGCCGTGACACACAAGTTTCTTAATATTGATCCGCACTCTTCTTGTAACACCGTTTATCCTCGGTAAAAGACACTCTTGACGATGCTTTTCCTGTGCAAACACGTTTGAGGTCGCTTGTCAAGAGCTGGATGCGATTTAAAGTGGATTTTGCCAGCCGAGAATCCACGGACTCGAGCGTTCCAATGAAACGTTGGAAGCGATGTTGCGACGCTGATGTTCTTTATTATTAACATATTCATGAACCTCTTATCACCGTCCACGAATATACTATTACACTTTTTCTCGTAACTTTGAAAACTTATTTTACAAATTTCCCTTCTATTAATAACATTTTCATATCTTGCCTATTATTTTCACGTTACTTCGCACGCGTGATATGTCAGTGCACTTCTGGTATTAGAATTCCTAATAATATTTTAAATTATATTAGCACCCGAAACAGCTCTACTTTCAAGTCTATAACGCCATCTCTCTGGACGCGATATGTGTTCGGATGCGTCTGGCGATATACGTTTGAGAGCCGTGCCATACACACCCTTCTATAAACGTCGCGAGCAAACGCGTTTAAAAGGAATCATGCATAGAAAAATCAGCAAGCATTTCACCGATTGAATCGCGAACGCTTTGAGGCGGAAGCTCGCGTAATTTCATCCGCTTGTCGATCCTTCGAATACCTTCGGATACGTTATTTACTTTGGAAAATAGTGTTTCGGTGAAAGATTACATCGAGGGCGCTGTCAGAGCCGTTTTCGCGAAGAATGTCACTCGAGGTTCCGTCACTTTCTTGCACAATACCTATGGGTAAACTTTTATTCAACAAGATGACTTGCCACGATAAGCAGAATCAATTTTCCCCGTCCATTATTCATCCACGATATCCAAAGCGTTCCAATCTCGAAAATTAATAAGCAGACGCTCGATCGAACAAGGGTTTCGTATTAATTTTATTCCACCCTGAACTATGGCGTGGCTGGTCGTCGACGGCTGACGTTTCGAAAATTATCGAACCGTCCACCTGTTCTTCCCGCCTGTACGTCGAAGACGTATCGTCGACCCTTTACACCGCGATTGTTCGACAAATTTCTCGACAATGGCCTGTCCCCGTGTCGCGAGATGTAACTTCAATGGCGCGGCTCTGGCGTGTTACGACGAGGAGAAAGGGACAGCGGTGTTCATTCATCAAGCATCGAAATCCCTCGTCATAAAGTTTGACAGGCTCGTATATTGGGGCCGTGGCAAGTACTTGGCCCCTCACGCATACTCACACTTGCTTCTGATCTATTGTCAGCCAGCAACACTCGCAATAACACGAGCAATATCTTGCTCGGCGAGTTCACCAATCTAGCCCCGTCAATCATCGGCAAACTCGCGGCGCACGAGTTCTAGCCGCGCGGAAAGTCTCGCTGAAAAGCGTCAATCCTATAACTTGACGACTTACTCTCTCACTTTCTCTTGAAAATCGCCTACACTCGCGGTAACCAACTTTTCGTTTCCGAACGTTACAACGGAATTGGAAAAAGAGCCAAGTTCTCCCGTATGTCCACGAAGTTTTATTTATTCGCGATAGAAAAAACCGGATGATCTCTCTTTCTATACGTAAATAAATTGTAATTCGAGCATCGAATATCGAAACTTTCGCGTCATCCATATTTGCGTGACATATGAATTTCAACTCGTGTTACCCGTTTTATCGGGGATTACATTATTTACCCAATAATTTGATTAAATGCCTGAAAGTATAATCTATAAAATAAACAAAGTAAAAACGATACAATAAATTTATCGCAAATAAAATTGTTTCCCGATGTAACTTTCGAATTTGTTCGCACGGAAAGTGCATCGAACGGCTTCGTGGGTTTCGCGACGATACCTCTTGAACAGCGATTCGTTGATCAATTAATAATTGAATTTTCACTTCGCGTGGAAGCAGCATTCAGCTCCGATATCAGGCATTCGGTCGAGTCATTCGGAGTATAGCATCGACCGACAATGAACTGCTAATCAACGCGATATGAATTATGGCGCAAAGATTATCGCTAGCAGGATTCCATTAACAGGTTTCAATCGAGCATACTTTCGATTAGTTTGAAACGTCGAGGCCGCATTCCGAGCATACCCGTGTAGCGACATCGATCACGGTGCGTTGCGAACGTTGACGCAGGTCCGCTCGTGAAACAGGCTGGAAAACGCACGCTGGCTTCCGGTGAGTCGGATGAAAATTAATGCAACGCAGTTCGTCTGCATAATTAATTTACAATCGGCCGGACGCGAGGGGCCAACGCTCGTCTCGCCATCGACGTTATTTCAAACACGGCTGATTACTCGGCAAAATTGACCGCAAATTTCAATTATTTCGCGATAAAGCTGCACGCAACGCCGCGGATTATCCGTGGACGCGTCGCACTATCTGGGTCGCATTAACGCAATTACGAGGCCGGGGACCAGTCGAACTGGCGACGAACGACGTCGTTTTTCGGCGAAACGATACACCCCGGGACTACGCGTTGTCCACCTACCCCATCGGCCACTTTCAACCGGCGAATGAGATTTTCCCTGCGATCGTAAATCGCGCCTATGTCCGCTACACGCGAGGAACGCGATTCGCCTAACCGGGTTACAACGCTCACCGCTCGTGATTATCTTTATTGCTGCCGGATGTTGCGTACACCGGCCACGATCATCCGGCCGATACACCGTTAACATTTGTCTGGATATATGAAATGTATGTATGGAAATCGCCGGATAGTTCCGTGATTAACGCTGGTTCAGCTGCTTCTGCCGCTCTCGTATCTTCTGCTGTCCGCCAGATTCAACCCCTATCGGTGATCATGATCGTTCGAATTAGGTGCTAAACTTCAAGCTTTTCTTCGGATTAGTTTACTCTCCTAAAATCGTTGACTCGTTGCATACTATCTAGCTGTGTCCACGAGTCATTTGCAAGAGGAATGTAAAGAACATTTAAAGACCTTTAATGAACTTTGCTGAAATTTTGCTTCTGCAGGTTTAAGTTTCTTGAATTAATACGGTAAAATTACAAAATTCCTTCCTGTTCATCAAGATAATAATTAGCTTTCCAGAAAAGGACAAATAAGATGATAGAACACGTTCCATTTTCTTGGTTTAATTAAATCTTGAATCTCTTAAAAAATTATCTTGCCACGAGCTACCAGTCTCTTCTTCATTAAACGCGATTTTGCTCCAAAGAAGACTTCCCTGTAAAGCAGTGTTAAAATAAGGAAAAGACAAAAGAAATTTCAGGGATCTCTCTCGTTGATTATTCGGTAGCATTAGTAAATTCGTTACTGACCAACAGAATGTTAGCTCGGAACGTAATTTCGTGTGGATACATTTCTTCGTGGAAAAAGCGACGGTACTTTGTGAAAATGCGTTCGCAAGCGTGACGACGAGTAGGCGGTTGGAAAGGACGGTGGCAAAAGTAGAACGAAATTTTTTTTCCTTTTCAGGGGAGCATCCAGCGGCCATGCAGCACGGCGGAAGTTGCGTCGTGACACCCACCATTCTGCTCGCGACCTTCACCCTTTTGGTCGCTAACCTGCTGAGGTGAGCAGCCTCGTGAATCGTGTCGGCTTCCTAACCACGAAGTTGAACTCGTTTCCCGAAATGGGATAGTTAAAAGTGTCACGAAAACGGGACACCCCTCTACCGGAAGTTACAGTGAATATACCGTTCGATTCGATTTTCGACCAGTGACCGAGTCGATGGTTTAAGCAGGAGAAAAAGGATCGAGCGAGGACAAAGTGCAGTGGATCGAGCTGTGTGATGGACCCAGTGACGTGCAAGTGGATCACGATCTTCCTCACGTACGTTTTTACCGAAATTTATCCCCTATAAACTACTATTCCTACCAATTTCTCTACGGAGCTTGCAATTGTGACACGTGGAAGTGACTATCTCGCGAGCATACTGTGTGAAACGTTCGCTTTGGTGAATCCTGTGAACGTTAAACTTTGTTGTGAATAACAAAAAACCTCTCTAGTTTGATAATCAAACGAGTGTACTCGGTGTGTTTGCCTCCGGAAAAATATCGTCGAGCTGATCGACGAAACGCGAGAATCCGAGAGGCGTAGAATCGATAATTACCGTCGAACCGTATCGTCGTAGATAGCGTAAGTTTTTCTGTATATAAAATGAATAGGATTTTGTCGCGACCTCGTTTGTACAGTACAACACGTCTGAGAATAACGAAACATCGGATCTGGGCAACGTTTGTACATATATCTTCCAATTTTATGCTTAACCCTTTCGCTGTTGCGGTTTTTAAACGAAACTCACAGAAGTCTTTTTCTTATCGGTAAACATTCATATTGAAGGGCTAAAAAGAACTTCGAAGTTGGGGTCGAGTTTCTTATCGAACGTTTTAGTCAAATATTTTGAAACGCAAATTATAACTTTTTCAATACTGATTTATGACTGTCGATAAAAGGGTAAGAGGAAATATTGTCGATTAGGTTTTTGATTTTTCTTGTGATTTAAGGTAAGTATTAACGCGTGACGATACATTTATGTAATTGTATTGTCAAGCTAAACGCTGCAAATTCGGTTAATCGAAATAATAGCCCCAAGAAACCATATATCCTCTTGATAGTTAAATTCCCACTGCCACTCAGTAGGCGCACAACAGTAATCGCATCAATAACGAAAGGATTAATGTTTGACAACGTAAGCTCCTCTCAATAAACATCGACTTACGAAACTTGCTCTCGCGATTGGTGAATCGATGCGTTCAAAGTTTGCCCAGGTCTGACTAATTACCCTCCATTCTCATCGAAACGTCTGTAATTTCATCGACGAACGTGCGCTGTTCTTCGACGCGTAATCGCACCCAATCGTTTGAAGAATGTTTCTGTTCCCCGAGAATTGCTCACTATTATCTGCTCAGTCTGTTCAGGGAACGCGATCGTTTCATCCGTGCCTATTTTATCTCAGACGTTTCGCTAATAATCCTTTCGGTCGATACTCGTGTCGAAGATCCGTCAATGGTTTGATCGTTCAACGATGATCGTCTAATCAAAATGCAATCACATTCAATTAACTTGTAAGAATCGCGAGAAACGCGATCGTTGTAGGGTCCGTGTATAGTTAAGTGTCCGGGGGTAAATGTAAATTTCTATAAGAATAAGAGTGTCGTTAACAGGAAGCGCGCGTGTAAATGCTGCTAACGAATTGATCACGAAAAAGAACATTTGCAACATACGTAATCGATACAATAAATCTCGTTGTTTCGCGCGTTTGTTTTCGTATTCCCTAGCGTGATTAACATTTCGCATCGAAGTCATTCGAAGAGTTGCTCGAAATGTTCATTGAGGAACGCTAATCGAGACGGTGCTAAATTCGTTACGTTCTTTCTTAGTCGATCAAACGAAGCTCATTTTTTCTCGAATCAAACTTCTTACAAGCTGAGTGCACGATCTTTGGAACACGGGCTGTAAACTTTACGCGATTATAGGTTTTACCGTAAATTCGAAAATTTTGAGACCGGGAAGTTGGGAATTCAACGATGCGAAAACTTCCCCTTACTTTGGAACAGTGGATGCTGTAATTTTGCAAAATTATCACTTTAAGTCCCTAACGATTGTGCAAAATTTCGAAGAAATTAGTGTTCCAAAGATCGTGCGCTTCCCTTCTTAGATCATTGTCGCGAGGTAAATTCACGATTTACGGACGGTAGTCGATTAGCAAATTTACTACTAATGTAAACGAATAAACGATATCATAAAAAGTTAGACGATTAAGTCGCGACGCATACCTTAGGTCTAAATATAGATTTTTTATAATGTTGTATCACGAGGAGACAGTTAGGGTCTACGGTGTAAAACAGACTGCCAGAACGCATTCACGGTGTTAACAGTTGCAATTGGTACGAATGGATTTCGACTATAGACAGAATGACACGCGATATATAAATATATAAATATATATATATATACATACACATTATTCCTTCTTGTATAGTTTATACGGTAATTTATGTCGTTGTGAGAGGACAATATTTTAAAGTTGACGCGTGAGGATTAACGTTAAAGTGAACGATTTTAGGCGCAATTAAAAGGTAATCGAAGAAAAACGAACGAATCGATCGGAGATCGACGATGAATGCTTGATCGTGTGTGATATTTCAAGAATCTGACGTTCCTGGATGGACGTTGATCCATTTCACGATATTGGAAACAAGAGAACGATCGTCGGTGAAGTTTCATTCGGTGTTTCACGGGTAGAGGTTTTTTCTCGATCCCCCGAGTCTCGTTCCTTTTCGAATGATACCGTTGATCCTATATCGGCGCGGTTTCGCACGAAACAAGAACGCGAGTGAGAAGAAAGGAGGAAGAAACGGAGAGAAGAAAACTATCGAGAGAACGTTATTGTTTGACGACTAGGTAATCGATAATCGCGGCTCGCGTAATTACGGAATGTTGCACACATTTATAGCTAAGTCTAGGTCGCATTGTACATACAGTTCATAATCGATAATGTACCACGTTATAGAGGAACGTCAGCATGAATCAAAGAGGCGGAAGTAAAACGAAAGAAGCGGCAAACGAGTACAGACTATTATACTGTAAAGATATTCATCGACGTGAATACTGTTTCAATAAATGTAATGATGATACAAAACGACTACCACGTTCGTTGTCCCCGCATCAACGTTTATTTCTCGATTCTGTTTCTGTCGTTGTCGTTTCCCTCCGCGAGCTAACGACGAGTTCTTCGTCTCGTAAAGCACGTCCCCCGTCGATGTTATCGAATACACAAATTATTCGATCGTTTGCATATCGTTTGCGACCCGATTCCTTACCGTAAACTGGATGGAAACGGGTCCTGTTATTTGCACGGTGTCGGCGCGACCGTTCGAAAATGAAAGAGTAATAAAAAACGTGATCGATGGAAGCCAAACGCGAAAAAATGTCTAGCTCGGCGACGACTCGAAAATTCGATCCAATGATTTATCATCGCGAACGCAAGAAGTATCACTTAATCTCGCAAATGTCAAATTCTCCTCGGAACATTTTCAGATTCAATCTCTCGAGCTTCGGTTTCATGCTGGAGAGACAACAATAGAAAAAGAAGAAAGAGGAAGACCACTCGGATAATGCGTTTACGTCAAAGCGCCATTACGTCATATTTCCCCAGACGTCGGAGTAATCAATTTTTCTCGTCCTACGAAAAACAATCGACTACCACCCGAATGTATCTCCTCGTTCGTCGCATGAACAACGTTTCTCGATACAATCGTTTGCCAGAATTCTGTCGAAACCATCCGATCGATGAGAAAAATTGGAACTCTGCGTTTCTACCCTGCCGAATTTTATCCCTCTGCTTTCCAATCCTTCCGGCTCCCTTAAGGGTTGCATCTCGCGATACACGATTTTTCAATATAGGCGGAGATTAATTTTTCAAAGTAATTCTCTGCATTCCTATTGCCTGCAGTACACTATTTCCTAAAAAATTTAAAACCTCCAAAGTCCCGTAGTTACAAAAATTTCCTAAAATTCTCTTTGACAACTTTCAAAATTTTTAACTTCAAAAATTTCCACGGTTCCAAAATTCGGATTACCATGCGCTTTGTAATACTAATTAGCCTTTATCCTTGCCAAAATTGCAAAGAAACTTTGGGAAAGGTCTTCGACAAGCTGTCCGTACGTTTCGAAAAATGATGGACAGCGTATCAGCCGATTCGTTCATTAATCGTGACAGGAACGAAGCTGGAAACAGTCGTGTCCGTCAGACGGATCGTCCGAAAGCTTATCCCGCCCGTTCGTTTTCCATCGATGGAATTTTCACTGGACATTTTACCAGCCACGCGCGTGTACGCACGCCCGTGCGATCGACCCAGCGATAGAAGAAAAAAGGAAAAAAAATAACACCGAGAGAAATTGTTGGACACGCGTGGTAGGATCAATTTTACATATACAGCTCGATAGAGGAAATATATCGCCGATAGTCGTATGTGACCCGTCGTCTTTTAATAGTAGCATGGTCGACCAACTTTTCGAACAGCCGCTCGAACAATTTCGCGACCGCTAATCTCTCGTGATTGCGTGCGAACGGCCGACAAGCTGTCTGGCTTCTGTTATTGAATACCGTGCCGATTGCGAACAGAGAATCCACTGACAATCAACAAATTTATGGCTTTTCCACATTGTAGTTGATGAACTTTTAATTCAATTCACCGCGAGATATATTGACTGATCTATTTTTAGTCCGTTACAGCTTTGTTAATCTTTCACTGGTTATTTTGTACAGTGGATTCTCGATATATTGCCACCTTTATATGGATTTTCGTGCGTAACGTATCATTGCTGACGTTAGGGGATATATCGTCATGTACTATCTCTACGCAACGGATCTGAACGCGCCGTATCTCTACGCTCTATATCTCCACCCGTCGTATCTCTACGTTCCATAACTCCGCGCGTCGTATCCCTACGCCTCGTATCTCCATGCGTTGTATTTCCACGCGTCGTACCCTACGCCCTATATCTCCACGCGTCCTATTTCCGAACGTCGTATCTGTACGCATTATGTATCTACACACAGTATCTCTACGCTCTGTATCTCCAAGCGTCGTATCTCTACGTTCCGTATCTCCGCGCGTCGTATCCCTACGCCTCGTATCTCCATGCGTTGTATTTCCACGCGTCGTACCCTACGCCCTATATCTCCACGCGTCCTATTTCCGAATGTCGTATCTGTACGCATTATGTGTCTACACACAGTATCTCTACGCTCCGTATCTCCACGCGTTGTATCTCTACGCGCCCTATCCGGCATGAAATTTCAACGCTATCTTCCATAAATAATTAAAAAATATTTAAATCTGTACTTAAAGTTTTTGATATAATTAAGTAGCGTAAATGAAGCGATTGCCGAAGAGTCGAAGCAGTCTGGAGTAAGGACTGGTAAAATATCAACTGCATATCGAACCCTGTTTACCGATATTTTACCGGTTTAATTGTTTTTCGATAGTCGAGAGCAATTCCGGCTTTTCGCGTGCGATTGGAGCTGGAAGAGAGGCAGAGGGTTGAGTGAATAGGGTTGGCAGAGGCGCAAGCGTTTCGGATCTGGTCATTCGTTACAGTGAAACTGAATCGCGAGTTAACGGTGCAAGATGGCGTGCGCCCTTTTATTGGTTAAGTAATTCTCTTCGTTTTTTGCGAATGGAAAAAGCTTCAAGACCAAGGCTTCAGCTATCGATCCACCGTTGAAACATTCCGTTTCGTTGCTTTCATAGGAAGCCGAAGTTCCACGTGTTAGTTTAACATTTTACTCGGTAAACTGAAATCCTCTTTCCAGCGGATATTTGTCCAAGGTATTTCGAAGCGTTGCGGCAGATTGAAAGTTAACGCTTGATTTAAGCAACGCAATTTTTCGACCATTTTTTTTAATGGAAATATCGATGACCAAATATCGAATTACTTTAGAAGATTGAATTCCCGTCGAAATCACGTTACTTAACGAAATTTCGAGTTATACGCGCTGCAGAGAAATCGGTGGGGTTTTAGTGGCTGTTCGCAAGAACGGGTCCATCAAATCGGGAAAGCGGGAACATTCGTTTGCTGCTGTTTATTCGTTACAGTTGAAATTGAATTGAGCGTCAACAGTGCAAGATCACAAACGCTTTTTACAGGAAACAAAATCCTAGCCGTTCGTTTGTCAGATGACCTGGAAAATCATGGGCCAAATTAACTGCCATTTTCTGCTCAATCGTATCACGAATCGAACGATTTGTTTACTCGTTCGTTAATGATTTCTTACAGGCTGTTGCATTCTACATTCTGAAATAAAAAAATTCTACAATGATTTAATCACGCGAGAATGTGACAAATGTACAAGAATCAGTCATTTTGATAATGTTCATCGAGTTTTAGTCGATACTCGTGGCTGTAACTAGTGTCACGCTTTTCGTAGTTCATCATCCGATAAGAACGTGATGGAATGCGACCTCAGATCATAAAAGCGGAGCAGTAGAATGTATGTACCAACGGATATCGCAGTGTTTCACATTTTTTTAAATTCGCGACATTCGTGACGTTGCTGAACTGGCAGGAACGAGATGATCTTTAATTCGAGCAGAAATGAAAGACGGTAAAGTCGAAGATACGCTGAATTTATCGTCGTTGGCCGATGCCGTTAACGAATGTGTCCCGCAGGAACAGAAGCGCTGGACAATGCAGTTTTCCAATTTTCAGCCTGCAACTCCCACCCCTCCAGTATGGTGGAAGCCTCGGTTCGACCTCTCTGGTCTACCTAGTCCTCCACTCTAACCCTTTATCATCCTGTAACCAGAACAATCATAAAGCATGTTGATTCACGAGCCATCGTAAATTTAGCGTTATTTTATTCTCGTACCGGCACCGTTTAAACGAACACTCTAAACGATTCCTCGAATCGATTCGTTATGCCGGATTTGCTAAAGTTTCTGATAAATATCGCCGATGATCGTGTACGGACAAAGTGTCGAATCCGTAATAAAAATTCAACCTACCAATTGGATGACATTTTTATTCAACCTCCTCTTTTATTCAACGACGGAGCGTTATCGAATCGAGGCGTCGATTGCACCACTCGATTCGCGAGGATTGAAAACGAACGATGGCGCAATTAATTATTACCAGCCATTATTTCACTCCATCGTGAAATTTAAATCCGAAAGAATCTCGCTTGGCTCGACGATTAATTTGGAAGACCCTTCCCGTTTCTATCTTCACGCTGCAGTCACGCCGCCCGAAGCAATTTTACGCGCGGATCCAACCTGAAGTTTTCGGAATTTATAAATGAAAATCCACCGGATGCCCGATTCAACCTTTTCTCCTCGAAATTGGCCCGGTTCGCTCCCACAATTTTATATTCGGAACATTACTGCATGCCCTTCTATAAAACCGCAGTTTTAAACAAGGGAATTGCCCCTGCATTCTACGGGGCTTTGATAAACTTTCTCTATATTTTTGAATCCCAGTGAAAAAAATTGTATTGCAATTGTTCATTGCGAATAGCCGAATTGTATTGCCACGCGTTACTATTACTCCACGTATTATACGCAATATTTCCACACATCGCATTCTCACGCGTATTTCCATGCGCCATAACCTCACACACCGTATTTCCACGCGTCGTACCATCACGCGCCATATTTCCTCGCGTTGTACTACCACGCGCCATGTTACCAAGCGTTAATATCACTACGCGTCATATCATCACGCGTTACTATTATTACGCGCCGTATTACAACGCACCGAATTACCACGCGTTATCATTGCAACACGCTGTATTCCCACGCGCCACAATAACAACGCCCTATATTCCCCTGCATCGTATTACCACGCGCCGAATTTCAACGCGCCATATTACAAAAAAAAATCTCATTGCGAAAACCCAGTTTCCCTCCAGAATAACAACGCTTTCCCAGAAATTTTTCAAGCACGTACACAACGCGCCCAAGAATACGTTCAAATGTCACGGGACGTGTTAAGTTGACCAACGCGACTGTCGGGCTGTGAAAAGGGTTTCGCCGAAGTGTGAAAACAAGCCGGACAAAGTAACATAACGTTCAGCACGTATCGAGGGTGACCAGGGTGGAAAACAGAGGGTCGTAACAGACATTCGTTTTCCCTTCTCTTCGGAACATGCGTGATTCGTTAGAACGATCAAATATTTAATCTGTTCGTCACTCTTTTCTCCTGCTCGGACCATCTCGCGTTATTTGTAATTCATAACGCATCAAAGTGTTGAATAATGTTGAAAATTTGCGGAACGATTTTTCAAGCATTGAGGAGCAAAGACTCGTTGACGTTCTATGGTTTTTGATTTTCTGAATTTCATTTCATTGAAATTCTTCCTGATCTACTTCATTTACGAATTGATTTTAATTCATGAAGGGTGAATTTTTCAGCACATTCTATTAAAATATTACGCTGTATGAATCCAAGAGTTTTATTTTAAAAATTCGTACAATGTATTTAAATAATTGGAAGATAAATTCGTGGTCGGTCGCGCTTTGAAGTCGTACTTAAATTATGGTACGAATAAATACAACAAGTTTTTCCTACTTACGTCACTTGAAATAATTGGTATAAAATCACATACTAAAAATGGCTGATAGAAAGGAGAATTAAATATTGTTAGACATAAAATGATTGCGATAAATAAAAACGGTATCAGTCATTTTTTTGTATGATTACTTGGCTGAAGGTAATTGTGCGTTCGTTCATAAATACTAGCCTAGATCCGTCGAGGTTACTTAAAAATTCTTCGTTAATTATGTACAATCTTATGACAGGATCGACGACGCGAGCGTTTCATCAAGCTCGACGAGTGAAATTATGAATTAAAAATTTGGATTAATATCGTTCCTCGGCATCAGAGAAGCATCTACCTTGCTAAGATACAGGATATCAAATTACTTTCACATCCTTTGACGTTACTCGGCCACTTTAATCCCATTGAGTTCAAGAGCGACGCTCAAAGAAGCAAGGGCGAAGCGAGAAAGACGTTTCAACGCATTGAGATCAAGTGTAGCATTGCGGCTCACTTACTGAATTATTTACGTAAAAAATAAATTTAACAGACGGTTCGCTTTTCCGATGAGTTGCCTCTCGATTACATTTTTACTCGCTTCGTAAACCATTCTCTCCATGAAATGCTCATGACAGAATTACAAGACGCATCAATTTGCTTCTCTCGAAGCAAATGATTCCTCCTCGATGTTTAAATTTCCGTATCAAATTTTTACCCGTTAAAGAATTAACGGATAAAATTTGACGAACCAATCTGATTAGCTGCGCTAATCCTGTCTGACAGAATTCGATCGCAAAAATTCGGCGTACAATTGAAATGGTCCCGATATTCGATGATCCTCTTATCGATAATTTCTACGATATATCTAGCTTACAATCTAGCCGTTGGTCAATGGTTGTACTCTCCTCGAAGCGGAACGAGGGCATCAGGGCAGAAGAGGCAAGCGTGAAATACTGTCGGGTTGGTTCGCTATTGCAGGAAAGTTTGGCTGTTTCGCGCGAGTATTAGAAACCACGGGAACGGAAGTAGAAGTCCGGCCCAGTGCCTGACGTTACATCCGGAAGAGACGTATCCGGCGTCACGTTGCATGGCTTCCGTGCGTTCTCCTGTAACAGAAATAAAACTCTTTCTCAGTTTCACGGTTTCCCGTGTTTCGCGGGGTCATAGGACGTTGAACAATCGTCGATTTATGATTACGCCCCGGCACTGAGAGCTGCGATTTCGCGCGAAAGAAAGAAACGTGGATATCGTTCCAGGAGAAAGAGTAATGAAACCACCGACTCGTAAATCAATGTCTCACCGTGAGACCGTTGGATTATTGGTTTTCCTGCGTTACCCACCTCCGAATGAGCTAAGGTCTTCATTAATTACCACGCTTTTTAACGTGGCGAGACCAGACCCGTTTATTTCCTTCCATCGAAAGGTAACAAATAATCGGCTCGGTAATAAGTGACTGCCACTCTGGAGCCTGTTTCAGCGCTCCCCACCTGACCACGTAAATACGTTCTCGAAATTAAATATTGTTACGCTGAAAATCGATTCGCTAAAATTGCAATTATATTCCAGTTTACACGCCGCCGTTGTGAAAAATCGAGTAAAATTCTCGTACAAATTTTAAAACTATTAAAGTTGAAATTCCCCGGAACGAGCTTTAATTGATTGATACCGGCAATTAACGCCGCAGGTGATTTCCAGCAGAGTGCATATTTGTTTGCAATAAAAGCGTTGTAAAACGACGAACGCACACCGTCAGAGATAGGACGGAGATTTGAAAGTGGTATTAGCTTTGTTCCCGCGCAATACGGTAAGGATGTTACACGCTTCATGTAAATGTACGTGCCTCGAAGCGTCGTACACGTACAAGTACTTTGAACCGTGTTTACAAAAAGCCGTTTGACGTTGCCAAAAATTCTATTTCATAAGATGGGCTTTCGTGGCTTAACACCGTCGATATTATCTTTTTTCCTAAGCACGGAGGCTACGTAATTAAAAGGCGGAACTCGCTTCGGCGATTTTCGCGTGAACCGGTGTTTGTTCGAAATCTAGTTTCGTTTGAAGTTACAAGCTGCTTTTAGTTTTCCCTCGAAAGGAGAATTAATTGAAAGCTCCTGTGAGAACAAGTTTTCCCTTTTTTTCATGAATGCGAGAGTTTTTTGAAGTTGGATTAATTTTCCGAGTTTCCACGTTCACAAGGAGAAATCTGTTGCTCGATAGCCGGGTAAACTCGAAAAACGAGCAGGGGTTGTAACTATCGGCTAACGGAGGCACACGGTGTTGGCCAGCTTTCGTCTTAACGGCACTTTACGATCGCCAACACCACGGAAGAAATCCTGATTTTTTCGGAAGACCCGTTAACAGCTACTTTATTCTCCGAAAGTACTCCTTTTAACGATCTCCTCTACTGATTACACGGCCCCACAGTCGCTCTAATGGCAGAAATACGAGCACTTTGTGCGAGAGAAATGGGCGTGCATCGGTTTATGTACATTAGAAACTAGTAAATTTCTTCGCGGCCTCTTTTACTCGTCGTTAGGAACACGTAGCGAGGTTTTACGCTTAATCCACCAGAAAATGTTCCAGTTACCGACAGTGATTATGCTTTCATAATTCTCGACCGATTAACCGTGCAACTTTTCCACGTTGTTACTTCGAGAAGTTGACTCGAAAATTTATCGAGCATCGTGCGATCGCGATTATCGTCCTTCAATTAGACTCGATCGATCGACTATCGCGTAATTAAATGTGAAAATTATCGACTCTGTTAGAATGTGACGTTTTAATCTTGCAAGTTCGATTCGAACTTAATTGGCAACGTTACTGGTTCCTATTTTATTAAAATTTTAAGATCGAGCGACCTGGATAACCGGAAGAGGGCGATATAAATCTTCGTCAAATTTATTCGATAATAGTTAACGAAGTAGTGGTCTTTATCGCTTGCGGTTTGCACAATTTCCTCGGTATTTCAGGAAGTCTGCTTCTATTTGGCTCCTGATGGCTAGAAGATCACGACGGATTTCGAACATCGCCGTGCGATCCTTTGTCCAGGATGGGTATCAGGGATAGTTAATTGGCTGCCGTGATAGGGTACGGTCAATTGAGCGTTTAATTAGAGTGGCAGGGTATCGATGGATTTTCGGCGAACGTTGCTTGGCATTAATCGATGATTCCCCTTGATGGTCTTTGAATATTTGTCCATCAGATACCTGAAACCGGACTTTGTTATCTTCTATGTGCAGCAAATTTGAACATTTGCATAAATTATAATTAAATACACTGCTATCATTTGGAGTATTCAAATTATATTCGTGATCTGTCACAACTTTAAACGAACGCAACCAAAATTGCACCCGAGTTGCTGAAACGCGGAGTTAAAAGGCGCATAATTTTTCCTTAAAAGTTCTAATGCGTTCAAAGTGAATTTCCCTCTCTGAATTTCACCTGTCCCTTAAAGTAGAACGTCTAGACACAATCGTGATAAGTTTTACCGTTATTTTCTCACAGACGAATTCCCGACGCGCCAATATGTCACCACGTCGCCCCGGAGTTTCATGAGCATCTTCAAGATTTTTAAACATATATATGTATACACGAACAGAGCAGCGTGTCGGCGACGCGAGGTTGCAGTTCGTATGGAGTTTAATACCTAACGACTCCCCAAGCTACCGTTTATATAACTCCGAATTTCATCTCTTACCCTCTCTTTCTCTCTTAGCCCCAGTTCCTCACCTTTTAAACCTCCTTGTTATATTATTAAATTTCAAGCTCGAAATATCTGTGTAAATTGAAATCGCCGAATTATTTATTTACTCTCCCCAGTGGAGTTATTAAAAAATCCGGCTCCAGTCGGTACTAAGGAAACGTTTTATATTTATTTTGCCCAGCTCTACGACTATTATTACGTATGATCAATTCGCCAGTTTCACTGTTGACCAACGAAACCAATTCGATTGGCAAACTTTTTGATCTCGGCGATTGTTGCGGCGCGTATTGTACCGTTAAATTTTTTGGATTCAATCTACTGGATCTTTTAACGATTTCATCCGGCAGGAAACAACGGTACCGGTAAGTGACGAGGAAATGTCTCACCGTATACATAAATGTTTGCCAGCGAAAGTAATGGTGGAAGTTCGAATATCGATCGCTTTAATGACTCCCAAAGCATTTCGAAACTACGGGGAACAGCTCTCGAAGAGGAATCGTTCTTCAGAAGCGCGTAGGATACGGGACAATTTTCAAGAGTTCCTTTAGGAAAACTGGAGGAACCCGGAGTACTACTTGCGCAACTTTTCGAGCTTGTAGATCATTCGCGATTCAAAGTAGTAACGCGAACTCTCTCTTGACGACAACGTGAAACCTATCGTATTTAACGAGTCGATCCACTAGACTAAAAGTTGAGCTCTTCATCTACCGGTGTTTGTTATCGATATTTGACAAACTGTAACGATCATTCGCGCAACATCTCCACGGCAAACTTTCTCATCCTCCATAAATTCTAATCGACGCGCCGACGATTAATAGTTCCGAAATAATGGCGGGCACTAATGGGTTTACAACTATACACGTATACACGTATTTAATTCGTGTACTCTGATAACAGCGAGAATGTGATCTACAGTTCTTTGGTAAGCTCGGTAGTCTAGCTTAGCAGGGCACTTATGGCTAATTTATACGAGCTATTACGACTACCACTGACCCAGTAAGGCTGTGCAGCAGATCACTAGCGTTCCTAAGGCCAATTCGCAAAGCTCGCCAACATTGGCCTTAAACTGTCCTCGGCGAACAATCTTATTAAGGTCAACGATGAAACTGTAACGATCCGCGATAAACCTTGGTTTTAACGCGTCGGCTGTCACGGGTCATCGATAACGCGAAATTACGAACGGTCTGGCGTTAAATCTCGAGTTAAGGCGAAAGAAAAAAAGTTTATTCGAACACGAGAAACCGTAAAAGCGCGAGCACCGTTTTAAACTGGAGTTTCCGCGTTATTAGGTGCCACGGCTTTCGCAGTCGAGTCGTTAGCCAAATTTTTCCCCCGGCAAACTGTTAAACTCATAATCCGAACACAACAACGCTAAAACCTCCACTTCACCTTTAATAGCGCGCGCTGAATACGAGCCAAATATTAAAAGCTCATCCTCTCCGCCAAACGACTTCAGAGGCGCTTGTAACTCTAAAAACAAATTTCAAAGGATTAGAATAAAAGCGATTCGAAGGTGATCGATCCCAGCTATCAAAAAAATACTGATCGAAAAAAAAAACAAGGAAAGGGCGAGGAAAAGTGTTGAACGAGGACTCGAGTGGACTTCGAACGAGATATCCAGGATAAAGCTCGAGACGGCAGTCGCGAGAGAGCTAACGGTGATGTGCAATTAGGAAAATTGAATTCCAGACGTAATTAACTTTCTTAATTAATAGAATCGCGGAATTGTATCTTTAATCTGGCCGGTGGAAGTGCTTCTGGCAGCTACTGTCATCGGCGCGGAGCGTCGTCTGGGCTAGGTGAGCGACTTCGGATGAGACCGGGGGGGAATCAGAGGGACAAAGAGGGACCATGGAAGTTTGACGAACGAGGAAGAGGAACACGGAGAAGAGTGGAACGCGAGGTGGCACGGAGCGAAAGACGGAAGTCGGCCGGTGGAATGGGATAAGACAGGATTGTTGCGACGTGGAAACGGCGGCGACGATTGGTGGAACCAGAGGGTTGAGGAAGTCGCTGTAAGTTTTGATATATGCGCGACGTTATTTACGATCGCATACGAATTAGCTCAGACACAGCAAACCAGCAGCCGACCTGCAAAAAGTCGACTTTGCAGCGTGGACTGGCACTGTACTCGACCGCTTTTTGCCCTGTTTGCTTCCTGAAAAGTCGTTAAACCTCGCGCTGCATTCGACGAATCAGCCAAATGACGTTTCTTGCTGCTGGCTCGTATCGATGGGAGACACGAGAAACATTAATGTCAGCGACTCTTAGCTGCTTGTACAGGCAGTGCCACAACGTGGATTCGATATGCGAAGGTAAGCGCAAAACTTTTCTTGCTTTTTCTATCGCTTTACCTTGTTTCCATGCATGTCCATGCGTACGCAAACATTAATATTCAGCAGCTTAGAAAGCAAGTTTTTTACCTTACTTTTTCTTGCATAGACTTGGTGCATTCGTGCAGAAGTTCGCTCGGAGTTAAATAGTTTTTCAGGCAGAACATGATTCGTGCTGGTGAGATTGTCAACGAATCGCGTGAAAAATTAACGAGAGACGGTTTTAACTCGTTCGTTTATCAGAAAGCTCGTGGAAAGTCATTTTTCTCCGCGCCTTTCGTGGCCATCCGCGATTAATTAATCACCGGACGCCGATTTTGCTCGACCAGCAGATCGATTAATGAAAGCTGTCCGTTATTTAAGGCCAGTTTCGTCTTGTGCGTACGTTGTACATTTAAATGAAACGCGGATTGCACAAATCGTAAACTAAGTAACTCGTGAATAATTCAAATACCAATAAGGGAGACTTATGGAATGACGCGATAAATACAGTTTTTAAATGTTGCGTTTAACGAAAAACAAACGCATAAAGTTCGTGATACGTTACGCTCGTTGTGCAACATTCTGCGCCTCTATTCGCTCGATGTTTCAGAGAGATATCAATTGCCCTGATAAATCAGGTTTCGGCAATTCGCTGCGCGGTTCAAATTGCGAATTTACGCAAGTTTACATGCCAGAGATAGATTACCGAAAGAATTACCGTTCGATCGAAATTAAACGCGACCGTCACGGTGTTTCGTCGACCGATGATTTTTACGAGCACGCGCAGAACATAAATGCTCTCCATAAATATTACCATAAACGCCGATGTAAATTGTGCATATCGATGAAGCACCGCTGACGCTACGATCGAATAGGTAAAGTTTTAAACGGCAAACGTGCAATTAAATATATAATACCGAAAGCGGTTGCACAAGTGGATAGACCGGATAAGAAGTCGATTAAGCGACAACTTATGAAAGTTGTGCGAACGAATCGCGATACTTTGCCGCTTCGCGAAACAGGAGGAAGAGGAGCAGGAATCGCAAATGCACGACGGTGAGACAGTCGCTCGAGAGTCGCCTATAAACCGCGTAAATTCGCAATCTGTGAAACTACGAAACGAGTCGGCGAAGTTCTGATTTACGGCGCGTTTCACCGCCCGAACACGGGACAAGAGAAAAGGAATAGCCCGGCAGCTACATATATATATATGTATATATGTATGTGTATATATACGTATGTACGTAGGTATGTAGGAATATGCGTACAATGTAGCGTCGTCGGTGGGCGTCGGTCGGCCAGGAAAAATGCGACGTCGAGCGGGCCGCCGTTTCCTCGCAATAACTTCCGAAGGAAAATTCACGATAATAGAGACTACTGCCTGTGAATTCCGCATGCAAGCGTGCTTACGGATCTCCTTTACCCTCCCTCTTATTTTCGCCGATCCTCCAACCCTTGAGCCGTCTTTCTCGCACCGGTTAGCCAGCTTTATCATCCCCTAGCAAGCTTCCTTTCTCTATTTCTCACCCGAGCACACCGTGAACGCCCCTTTACCTCGGGATTTTCCTTCTTTCTCGCGACGTCTCAAACGATGGTCCGCGGCGAACCGAGAGGCTGAGCTAGACAAATAGTTCCACCGTGAAATACTACCGCCTCCTTAAAACTTTAAAGTGTTTCGAGTAATCCTGAGGCACGACTTTAGATCATGGCTATACCGTCTACGCCACGGCCCTTCGTCCCCGCTGTTTCTCTTTTTCTAGCCCCCACCGTTCTTCTCGTGGCGTGCACGAAAGCGTTACGACCAATCGAATATAAATGATCCCGAGGGCTCGTAATGTTTCCAGACGATGCGGTTCGCGGAGAAACGTTCTTCCAAAGAGCTTTTGATCGCGGTATAACCACGATTTGGGGTTAGATTTTATGACGGTAATTTGCAACAAATGTCCCGTCATTAGGCTGTACCTTTCTTTATTTCGACGATGATTGCCGTGTACGGTCGTCGTTGGTAAATTATTCGGAGAAATAAACTTACCACGTCGCGTTTTTATCCTTTCGATAATAATTGCCCCTAACTCCATGTACCTTGCAACTTTGAAACGACGTTATTCGTTTTTGATTCGACCCCTTGGTGACCGGTAGCTTCGTGCAACGTTATCTATACGTTTCTCTCAAAATTGGACTCGCGATTATTTTCGATGGCGAACGAAACGCAGCGTCAGAGAAGTTGAAGAGGTCGCTAAAAAGGTGAAGAGCGCTAACCTGGTTCAACGATCAGCGTTACAGTGTCCGTTCGTCCCTCCGTCGGTCTGCAGGAATAGTTTCCGACGTCGTTCTGCGTGACTGTCGCCAATGTCAATTCGGAGACCGTGCGAGCCGCGCCTCTTTCAGTTTCTACGTTTATTCCGCCTCGTGCTGCCTGCGAACAATGCGACTTGCAAATGCGAGGCAAAATTCAATGAACCGTTTGTTGGCTACACTTTTTTTATGACGTTTCGCGAAACGGTAGATAATTCTGCGGTCAAAGTATTTCTCTTCGAAGGTACTCTTTAGTTCGATCGAAAAACCGAGGAAAACGGAACGAAAGACCCAGTAATTTAGTAATAAATTTGTCGAAATGAATTGCAAAAAGCTTCTGCGAATAAATTTTCAGTTGTTCGTTTATCGTGGCCCCGATCGACGCCTGAACATTCTTCATGTAGCCGTAAAACGATTTAAACGTACTCTGTAATTACTTTAGTACCGCGTAACGAATATCCTGTAATTTCGCGTAAATGAATCGAAAGTTTGTTTTTACGCGAAAAGTCCTGTGATAAGCGAACGAGGTAATTTCGCATGCAAAAACGGATACGAAACGTGGAGCGGAGTTTTGTTTTATTTAAGTTGTCGCTTAAATTGAAATCGAGCTTATAAGCGATAAAGGGTATCGATAAAAAATATTGAGGAACGGCGATCGGAGAAGGTACATTACCTGGAATGTTAGTAGTTTGTTGTCCCGGAGCCATTGTACGCCCCTGATGGGTCGAGTCTGATACGGAGACAATATGACGCACCTCAAGGTGATCGTCGACCCTGATGGCACCCTCTGCTCCCGAGGACCCATTATGGACGCCACTGGAGCGGTGCTTTCGTAACCTGCAAGCCATGTACGGACAAATATCATATGGCAACATCGTGTCATCAAGATTAGAGGGTTTAAAGTGACGTTGAACAGTTTGCCGGGTCATGGTGTTCGTCAAACTTATTACGGTGCTGCCCGTTACTTGTTTACGACTCTATTCGTACGAGGGGATTTCAACGAAAGGCTTCAATCTTCAGGTGGTTTCGCTTGATTTTCACGAGCGAGATTTACTTCCACTCCAAATCGCAAATAATTTAGAAGTTAAAACTTCGGGCTAAATAAACTGAACATCGAGGGAAGAAAAGTTGATTTTCTACGGCGAAGAAGACTTCGTTGAACGGACAGCCTTAATTCTTCGCTTTTGTTTATTAAACCGGCCCTTCGAGCGAATTAATTATCACCTGCCAGTAAAAGCATCGTCAAAGGAAGTTGAAGGAGCAGCTAAACAATCGACCCAAAGAGTTTCCTTGTCCAGAGACTTTCTCGGCAACTTTTTAATTGACAGCATCAGGTCACCGCGATGTATCGAGTGACGCTCGGTAATTGACGTAACTACTTTCAACTTTTTAATTTGCTGCGAAGAGGAATCGAAATATGCAACGAGTATCCACTTTACTACGCGCCATCGAGGATCCTCGATGTTACGCAATAATTTTAATTAACGCGAACGTTAACTTCTTTTCTCGGAGGAGTTAAAGAATCTAGCGCGAAAACGGTGAAAAGGAAGGCAGTAACAGGGTTTCCACACGGGACTGTCAAGTTTGTACATTTTAATTTAGAAAGTCGGTCCAAGTACTCGCTTAATATGCGCGCCACCGTGAAACGACACGTTCCTCCGCTCGACGCGAGCAGACCCGCTTCGCTCGCTCCAATTCCGCCTCGAAATCGAACCACGCAACCTCTCGCCACCGTGGGCGTGAACACGCCCGAAGAATCGATTGTAAAAAAGCTTTGGTTGCCAAACCCTAAGCATGAAATATTTCTTCCAACCCTAACTCGGAGCTGTTTTTGATCCTGAAATACGAACATGTCTCAATAAAGAGGACTCGTCAAATATTATTTCGAACGATATATTATCGACGCGTATCGATCGAACGTTTCCTGTGGCCGGTATTCGTTTTCTTTGGCAAATATGAAATGGTCGAGGTTACAGAGGGTTAAATCGTGTTCAACGGAAAATCAGGAGCCTGCTGAAAATCTCTTTGAACGTTGGAAAAGGTTATGACGCCCCAAAGAGATTACAATTACGATTCACTTACCGTGGCAGAGCCTTAAGTCTCGTCGCTATATTAAAACGCGACCTACTTCCTCGTTCGCTGCGTATTAAGCAGAGACAGAGGAGGAAAGAGCTGGTAAGAGACGAAAGAAGAAAGAAAGAGTCTTCCCGTTGTCGCCTTGGTCTAACCAGCAAGATCCTCCAGTTGGAAATTGCAGTTTCAAGTATGAACGAACGAGAGAATCTCGCGGCAACGTACGTGTCCTAATAATTCATTACACGGTGAACAGAGAAAAAGCAACGGAACTCCCATGAGGTACGATAACGCGAGGACAAACATACATTATTCCATGGTTACGGACTTTGTTTAATACCGGGCTCTCTTGACGGAATCGTTGGTCCCATAGTTATGGGCGGGCTAGGTGACGAGGAAAAAGAGCGCGCTGTACCAGAGGAGGTTTTCCAGGACTACCGGGATTAAGGATAATCCTATTAGACTCGGATTAATCCTCGGGGAACTGCATTTCTCCTCGGCGAAATATTACGTTATGCCGTTATTACTGTATACGCTGAGGCAGCCTGATCTCACTTTGGCGTTCTTGCTTTTCTTCCTGTTTCCGTTCGCCGTCAAATTCGATGGCGACTGTTACGGACATCTGGTTGTTTCATGGCGTCGTGATCGTAAGTTGTTGATGATTATCCGCGATATTCCAGCGAGGGAAGCAAGAAAACTCGTTATCTTTTTACTCCAAGCAGAAATTTTCTTTCATAATACAGTTTTGAATGATTATATCTTTTTCCTTGGGTTACCAGTTTTTTCTTATAACTAATTTCTCTTGTAACAAAATTGCTCGGAGTTTGACGAAAATAATTTCCATCGTAGATTACTTCTCGAGAGTATTTTCGCTTAGGAAAACAGCTTTCTTGATCCTTTTCGCGCCGCTCTTGATCCGGTCCTCCCTCGATAACCTTATCGAAAGTTATCGGTTATTAAGAGGCAAGTAAGGAAAATAGGAAAATTCGCTCTTGGAAATATTTTTGCGCGTCATAATTTCAAAAATTTCATTTCGCCGATTAAATACTTTGATTGCGGTAACCAGTTTCCTTATACAAGAAAGTTTTTTTCGATTCGATGAGAATTTCCATAGTGGGCGGTTCACTTCTTCTAGGTATTTTAATTTAAGGCAGCTTCCTTGACGCTTGTTTTCACGCGGCTCTCGAATCTATCCGTCGATTCGGGATCGATAGCAATTTTGACGAGAAAAAGTTCAAGCTGTGAGCTGGAAGCAATAAAGAAAAGATCCAGAAATCTCGCGTCTCGAACGGTGAAATGATGGAAGTTGGAAAGAATTATGAAGCGTCTAGCAGGCCGCTGCAAGAAGAATCGACGACGGATCCCAACCGTCAAAGCCAACGAAGAAGCGCGCTTATCCTTAAGTGATTGATGTCGACTAGGTCCAGAAGAGAAATAAGAAGACCTACGGATGATTTTTTAACCGGGTCGACGGTGTATAAAGGTTCCACGACACCCTTTAGCATCCAAGAGATACACAGACTCCATTAATATCTCGCGTGAAAATCGCTGACCGCCGTTCGGAAATTTATGAAACGTCTCTGAAAATCAATTTTTTTATTTTCACCTATCGCCAAGTTCTCCTCATCTTTCTACGCTTTTTAGATTTTTGAAGCCCCGTCTTATTCTTCCTTATGAAAAATCTACTCGAATCCAACTTCGCGAATGAAGGAAAATAAGACAGCTGAGTCCCGCAAAGCAATCAGTTAGTTAAAGAAAACTTGAGAAGTTGATCTTCACAGCGACAAGATTGGAAATGCAATTTGAATGTCATGAATCCAAAGTCGAACGTATTACTACCTTGATGAAATAAAAGCATAGCGGAAGAATTGTATTTATAAGGAGTCTGAAATCTTCTTTAAAGACGATACGAGAGTACACATCCAGATCCGAGTTACCGTCGCGAAGAATCAAATCAAGATCACGGATTAGCGGAGCGGAAAATGATATTTTTCGAGTCCGCAACACGAAACGGATCGAACGAGGTAATTTACGGATTTGTATACGAAGAAGTTTCGATCGTGCATCAATACCCTGGGCATGGATTTCATTATGCTGATCGACTAACCGCATGGACGAAATAAAAAAATAGGCAGAGGGATTTGGCCGCGAGAAAGGCGGGATTAATTTTTACGAGTTACGGGGACGGAAAAACTTTCGATGAAGTTTTGATTGCATTGCTGACGTATATCTGCACGTTGTCAGTGTACGTCGAAAAAAAGAAAAAAAAAATATAGCGTGCAATAAAACTCGATGCGTGGACGACAATCTATCGGCAGATTTTGATTGAAAATATTTTTTAATCACCCCCGGCGTGTATGAAAATTCGAAATTGCGCGGTTATTAAACTTAGACCGTGAAATTGTTCCGCGAACTATGAATTTCAATTTAAATCATCGAATAGATCCTGGAAAAATGATCGCAGGGATCATTCTCGCGATGCTTACTTACTTATTCGAGTCTGCTGGGAATGGGGTTCGTCGTAACCTTCCGGTTTGTCAGGATCTGAAAGAGATAATAAACGTATTGACGAGGTTAGCCAGAAAATTTGTTCATTATGTTCGTGGTAAATAAATTTAACGCATCTCGTTACAATTATGTCGTTTAAAATTAATTACAATTTATTATTTTCGGTAGGAGGTTAATCGGGAAAATTAAACGGGCGATCCTCCTCTCATTAAATGTTTGAAACCGAAGCACCGCACATTATACGGTGGATCGATAAGCGAAATTTCTCGCGTCTATAATTACGAGCTAAACACGTAGCTCGACCTACACTATAAAAGTGAAAAGTAGAGACGCTATTTGCACAGTAATGCAATTATGCTTTCACACAAAGTCGACTGCAACGCGGTATCGGTTAAATTGTAATCGGGTAAAATTAAATCAGTGGAATCCCTTTTATTGAATCAGTGAAATTTTTTTACCTCGAGAAACTCTACTTCTGTATGAAACAAGATTAACAGGGTGTGATTAAAATTCAAGATGTAGCCGAGAAAGTATTTGACGTTTCGTGAAGCGGGTTAAATACGGTGGTTCAGGAGAAATGGTAATTACCTCTAACGGACAGCTGAACAACATACATCATTTTCGGCTCGGCATTCACCTGACATTCATACTTGCCAGAGTCTGCCTTCCTAGCATTGTCCAGCCTGAGGGTCCAGGCGTCGCTTCCTGGTGTGTGCTGAGGCCCGAACCTCGTGTCCGAGCTGAACAAAGTGGTTCCCGACGTGAGGATGTGGAGATCCTTGCTCCTCATCCAGGACACCTGAAACCAACCGTGGTCAACGTTGAAATTACATCGTGATGAAGTTACCGTCCTGTCACCGAGGAACTCCAGCGAATGTTTCGCAATTAATTTATGCCTGAAATTAAAATTGCCTGCCCGAGGAAGAACTTCCTACGACTCGCAGAAAATACAGGTAACTCTTATGCAACACAAAAATTAGATTTCTTTTAATTACTCCGGTGAAAAGATTAGCAAGATTTTCAAATTACAAAGGATGAATTTTCGGGAGACCGGTGACTGATACTCGAGTTCTAGCTTTAAATTAATTTTAAATCAAGTTCGAGAGGTTTGAGAGATTTGGATCAAGATCACTGTATAATTTAATTAAGAGTATTTCGGATGTCTCGCTGCAGAGTTAATTTGATTAAGTTCGGGTTCTGCTAATTTAACGATACACCTTGAAAATATATTCTACAGGTTGAGTAAATTTCTTGGGTTTACTCATCCCCAAATATTTGCAGCTCCCCTTTTCCCCAATGTATACGCGTTCGATTAATCTCGATGAATCTAACATACAGTCACATCAAAAACGCGCTGTACATATATAACATGTATCTTCGGAACGCAGGAATTTTTGAAGCCGAGATTTCATATTTCGAGTGCACCATTTTCCATGATACTCGTCGGGTTTCATTTCGACCAGCCACCGGTATCATTCAGAGAAATGTGTAAAATGAAAGAAGAATAATTTTCCACCCGCTGTGTGTCGAATATTATGCCGGTATTACCACAATTTTCTATTCATATTGAAACGAAGACACATTGTAGCTGCGTATCACGGTTGAGTTAATCGTAGGTTTGAAATATACCATTGTAGCTGTGTCATCTCTTTGAAGAGGCTTTCCACTTCGACGTACCTTGAAGCAGTTACGTTCGATCCATTCGCTGTTTTAACGTCGCCACGAAGAGCACAATGGATCGATCGTTCGACAAACGAGACCGTGTCGTATAAAAGTTTCTCGTTGACGATGAGCATCCATCAGCGGGGCATTCGTCGTTCGATATGTACGGTTACAAATGTGGATTGCCCCTTAAAACCATACGAACGTGCACTTGCCCCTCGTAAATCAGTACTCTGTTACGACTTATTTTCTGCGCCGCGAACCTCACGCCCGTGGTACAGACTAATGTAATACATGACAAGGTAACGCGTTACGACGTCGTTGCTCTATGTTCGCGATAAAGGAGACTCTTAAAAGAAAGTTTGAACAGCGGCGAAAGTGACACAGGGAGAGATAAAGGCGAAATTTAATGGAGCAACGCATGAAAATGTGCATCGCGAAAGGGAAACGCAATGAGAATAATTGGAAAATGTTTCTCGCGCACGTTAAAGCGGCACGCTGTCCGTTTATTCGAGCAAAAGGAGGAGCGTGTCGGTTGTGTTTATGCAAGTATAATTTTATTAGACAGCTAAGGGAACAGGAAACTATTTTTATCGTAGCAACAATTCCATTTGAGTAATTTAAACGGCAGTCCCTCAGTTAATATACGATGCGATTATTCTTTCTCTGCAGCGGTGAAATAAAATCGCGATTTTCTTATGTCACTGGCAAGCTCCATTAATAAAACCGACTACGGCCCTGTGTTCCGTAGCTACGAGCCACCTTTGACATATCTTATTGCTCCGGGCTAAATAATTAATCCCATACCTGCACCGCCGCCACCCATCCTGTGCCCAGGGACGAAAAGGGGCCGGGTAATGGGAGTTTACTGATTACTCAGTTAAATTCACGAGTTTCTCGACTCGCGAACTATTTCCTGGATCCCGGCAGCTCGGTTCATCAATTCTTATGAGTTTTCTTCTCACAAACGCGGCTCTCCCGCCGAAGAATTCAATCCTTAATTTCCCCGGCAGTTTATCTTGAACCATCCATTTCATTGGCAAATATCGCGAAAGAGCGCGCAATCGTAAACCTCTTTTTCGCAGCTACGTATGCAAATTCTTTTAGATTTATGTCAAAAATCAGATTCGTGTCAAATTCACTGCAGAATTTTTGTCGAAATTCCGGGGACGTATCACCGTCACCTCGTATATTAACGTTAATAAGCATCGCGTTCGACCCGAGGATGGAATCGAATCACCGCGTTTTCGTCCCGTGGACATTTCAATCAACGACTGTTTGGGTAAAAAGCTAATCGGCAAATGAAAACGTTTCGAGGGTATGCGTAAATGTGACGCTTCGAAAGGACAGCGAAAAGGAGAAAAAAATGCATCCGCTACAAGCTACCCTCTCGCTATGTAATTCCCTCTGATTATCCATTCCCTTTTGCGCTCTCGTTCGTCTTGTTACGAGGAAAAGTTTGCACGACCCTTCCGTGTCGAGGACACACATAACACCGAGCAAACTTGAAAAAAAGAGATGGGCCAACCTTTCCTGGTTACGATTAATATTTGCCACACGGTCTTAAGGGTCGAGGTTGAAAAAACATCCTACTGGATCAGAGGGATGGACGGGTGGTTAGGAGTGTATAAGAACCCGAAATCCGGGGTACCTGATACTTGAGACGGGTCGGACTGAATTTCTGAAGGCGTCTCTCGAGATGTTGGGATACGGAGATTTCGAGTACTATCACGAGTTGTATCTGCACGTGTTAGATCACCACGCGACGTAATTGCTACGCACCGCAGTCAACACGCGCTGCAGCTCCACGCGTCGAGATTGTCACGCACCGAAATTACCACGCGTCGAAATTGTCACGTATCGTAGTCACCACGCGTCGAAATCGTCACGCGTTCAAATTGCCACGTGCTCTAAATTCCTCGCGCCAAAATTTCTACGCTCCGAAATTTTCACGCGTCGAAAATGCTGCGAGCTCTAAATTCCACACGCCGGAATTCCCACGCTCCGGAATTGCCACTCGAAATTTTCGCACAACAAAATTTCTACTGTTTGAATTTTCCACGTGTCGAAATTGCGGTTGTGTTACCGTAATTGTTAAAATTCTTAAGTTGCAAGATATTTTCGTACATTTGACCCGACCCCGAGGGAAGTTCTCGACCCGATCAGAACCGACATTCTCGGGTTCTCGCGTCCTCCTAATGGTCAGAGTTTGCAGTTGGTCGAATATGGTCGGTGGACACGGGGCTTTATCCGATCCTCGTATTTTTCAACGTTCGACGGGCCAAACGGTGGGATATTAGATATCCGGTTATCGGACTGCAGTCATTTCCGATCTGCATCCAGTTACTATTTTCCCATTGGTCGTTTCGCGAGCGAACAGAGAGACAGCGAGAAAGCGAGAGAATAAATGATCGGTCAGTATGATTTGTTCGTAATAGAAGAGAAAGAGAAAAAGAGAAGGATGAATCTAAATTGCGATCGTTCCGCGCTAGCTAGACCGCGATTTTTAATAATGTCGTAATATCCAGCCGACAGGAATCGAAACTGGTCCGCGGACGTTTCGTCGCAAAAGGGAAGAACGCAATAATCCAGAGCGGTGACAAAAAAGAGATACTAGCCCCGTGTCTCGGTTACATTCAGCCAGCTCGTAGATTTATCGTCGTTATTAAAACAACCGTCGCGATACGAGCTCGCGGAGGGACGAAGCGTGCGCATTATTCAGCGGGAAACAAAAGAAGTCCGGATTAATCGGTAATTAAATCGACGCTGGGCAACCGTAATACCTCCGATACTGTGGCGGTTTTTTTTTGTTCACGGTTTCTTTGGACGGTGTCGTTATTACCGGCCGCTTCAACGTTTTTGTTCGATCGGTTCGATACCGAGTTCTTTCGATCGTTGATATTTTAATAGAACCAAAGAAGTAACGAAGATATTCAGAGAAGTAATCCTTGAACCGTTCTGTTTTATCGTTTTAACTTTTTAGTTGAAAACGATTATTTGACTGTTAACATTCTATCAAATATAAAATACAGTTATTTATAATTATCCCATCGAATCTGATTTGGAAGCTTGACTATGGAGTCACATCCAAAAATCTGAACTGAATGGAAACTTCTCCTGGTAGTCAATATCATTTGAGGGGATGCTATTATTGTAGGATCGAATAAAGGCACGATGTTCTTGACAAATCTGGCCGTGAACGTTGTCGAAATGTCATAACGTTATTCGAAAAAGGTAAAGCATTCGGTGTGCACCTGTGTTCAGGCCATTATTCAACGAACAACCGTCGCAGAAATAATACTACGATCCTGGCCACATTACAAACTGCCTTCCTGGATTCGCCACCCCCTCGGTGGCAGGTGAATTCCTCGGTTCGCCGTCGAAGGGGATCGATGCCGGCCGCGCAGGCCTGCACGAAATCGGCGTCGGATGTAACGAGAAGAAAATTCAGCGCCGCGTGCGGCTGATTTATACAATAATAACGTAAGCAGCACACGGTCGAGCGTAATGGTCCACGATGTTACGAGAGAAAGGCGCGGCGAGAAGAAAGAGAGGAAGGAAGAGAGGGCGAGAGGTCATAACGTTAGGGGTGAGAAGAATGAACGGTATGGCAAGGCCGGTGTATCACGGCATTTGGTCGTATGCCAGTTTACTCGAGGATACGAGTCGGATGGCACCGAAATAGAACTGGCTTTGAGGTTGCACAACGTACATCGAGAAAGAGAGAGCAAGAAAGAGAAAAACCGTGGGGGGTTGCTTCCGACGTTGGGAGAGACAAAAGGATGGCAATATACGAAGCCGGCATAACCGCTTTCATCTGCTACGTCGACATAGTGCGCCGGATAAAAATGCAACTCCTACCAAGTCGTTTCGCCGCAACCTTACGAGCCACGCTGCTCGTTTCGCGCGTCCTCCTCGAGGAGCTATCTTATGTACGCCATTCGACTCGCGCCAACCAAAACCCCCATTCGCTGCACATCGACCGTACGCGACTAGTCTGCTCCACTGTTTCTTAAATTAAACGTTTCCGTGTTGCCACGACCGACCGGAATCCCTTGGATCCATTCTGACGACCATGGAACCTTCTAACGTCCATGATTCTCCCAGGACAATGAATTTTTCCGAAACCTAACCTCT